ATTTCTTTACCCCTCTGCTCCACCCCAAAACTTATACGTATCACCCTCACTGCTACCATCTCCCTACTACTGCTCTCATCACCTCCTGCTGATACTTTACTCTCCTGCTGACCCAAACACCAGGACTGGAAGGCATGTGCACTTGTGTACATCCCGCTCCCATGTTACTTTCCCCACCCTTCTTCTTTTCCTAACCTCTGGGGATATCTCCCCAAACCCTGGTCCTCCACTATCTCACCCCCACACCAGGCACCCTCTTTCCTTTGGGAATAGCCGCAATCCCCTCAATTTAATATCAGTCCCCGTGCTCCCAAAAACCCCCTCCCTTTTTAATGTGCACTCTGGAATGCCCGCTCTGTCTGCAATAAGCTCACCTCTGTCCATGACCTTTTTGTCTCCCGCTCCCTTAATCTACTAGCAATTACAGAAACCTGGCTTCAAGCATTAGAGTCTGCTTCTCCTGCAGCACTTTCCTATGGAGGCCTCCTCTGGACCCACTCACCCAGACCCAGTGGTCAGAAAGGAGGAGGGGTTTGTTTGCTTCTATCCTCACTGAGCACCTTTCAAGTCCTCCCTAACCCTCCCTCTCTATCCTTCTCTTCTTTTGAAACTCACTGCATTCAGCTGTTTTCTCCCATTTCTCTGAGGATTGCAGTGATCTATCGTCCTCCTGGACCGGTGTCCCGCTTTCTTGATGATTTCTCTGCTTGGCTACCCTACTTTCTCTCCTCTGAACTACCCACTATCATTCTTGGTGATTTTAACATCCCCATTAATGTCAACAACCCGGCTACATCCCAACTCAACCTAACTTCATCTTTTGTCTTACAACAATGGATACAGTCCTCCACTCACTGATGGGAATATATTAGACCTTGTTTTCTCCCATCGTTGCACTCCCTACAACCTCACAAACACCCCCTTTCCTCTCTCTGATCACAATCTCATCACCTTCACAGTGTCCTCATCTTCAAACACCTATCCCTCCAAGCAGCAAACAATTACCCGCAGAAACCTTCACAACTTGAACCTTGCTCCTTTCCACTCTGCAACTGACCAACTCTATGACAGAATCTCTCCCCTGCCCTGACCTGGACACTGCTGTCTACAACAGTTTGCTTTCAGCCACACCAGACTCACTTGCTCCTCTAACTACACAAACTATCAGGCCCCGACCATTACAACCTTGGCAGACTGACGACACCAGAAATCTTAAATGACATAGTCGTGCGCTGGAGCGATTGTGGCGTAAAACCAAATCTCAGCAAGAATTCACCCGATATAAATCTGCTTTCTTCACATACAATTCCTCCCTCCATGCTGCCAAACAAGCCTACTTTGTCACTCTTATCAACAGCTTGTCATCCAGTCCTCGTTGGCTCTTCTCTACTTTTAACTCTCTACTTTCTCCACCTTCACCTCCACCCAGTACCTCACTCACTGCTCACAAGATTGCAAATCATTTCAAAAACAAGATTGATGCAATTTGTAGGGACATCACCACTGCACAGACATTCATCCCACTTAGCATACCTTGTACTAGACCTCCCTCAACATTTTCCTCTTTTGACCTTGCTACTACTGAAGAGGTCACTGAGGTTTTCTCAGAAGCCCATCTCACTACCTGCCCCCTGGATCCTGTCCCCTCACAACTACTACGGTCAGCCTCTTCTTCTATCCTATGCTCTCTCACTCACATCTTCAATCTCTCTCTCTCTCTAACGGCGCCTTCCCCTCCCCTCTAAAGCATGCGCACATCACTCCCATACTTAAAAAGCCCTCCCTGGACCCCACCAACCTGAACAACTTAAGACCCATCTCCCTGCTGCCATTTACCTCTAAACTCCTAGAACGCTTAGTCTACAATCGCCTGAGCTCCTACCTCACCGACAACAACCTTCTTGACCCTTTACAGTCTGGCTTTCGCTCACTACAGAAACTGACCTACTAAAACTCACGAATGATCTACTAACTGCTAAAACCAATGGCCATTACTCCATATTCTTACTACTTAACCTCTCTGTGGCTTTTGATACTGTTGACCATCCCCTCCTCCTCAAAAAACTCCACTCTCTTGGCCTCCGAGACTCTGCTGTCTCCTGGTTCTCCTCCTACCTATCGCAGCGCTCCTTCAGCGTTACCCATAACTCTGGCTCCTCCTCTTCACTTCCTCTTTCTGTAGGGGTCCCTCAAGTTCCATCCTTGGACCCCTACTCTTCTCCATCTACAGCTCCTCCCTTGGTCACTTGATAAACTCCCATGGCTTTAAGTACCATCTCTATGCTGATGACACACAAATCTATCTTTCTACTCCTCACCTCACCCCTTCAGTCTCCTCTCGCATTACTAACCTAGTAAGCGACATATCGGCATGGATGTCACTCCACTTCCTCAAACTCAATCTTTCCAAAACTGAGCTCTTAATATTCCCTCCAGCCCGTGCTCCCTCCCCTGACTTCTCCATCAAGATCAATAACACAACTATCAGTCCCACCCCTCATGGTGCTAGGTATAATCCTAGACTCCCACCTGTCCTTTCAGCCCCAAATTCAATCGCTGTCCAAATCATGTAGACTTCACCTCCGCAACATCTCCAAGATACGCCCGTTCTTAACCTCGGAAACCACTAAACAACTTATTCACTCCCTTGTTATCCCCTCGCCTTGATTATTCTAACTCCCTCCTCATTGGCCTACCTCGTCGCAGGCTATCCCCTCTTCAGTCTATCATGAATGCTGCTGCCAGACTCATCCACCTTACTAACCGTTCCATATCTGCCATCCCTCTCTGCCAATCTCTCCACTGGCTTCCCATTGCCCAACGAATAAAATTCAAAACATTAACAATAACATATAAAGCCATTTATAACTCTGCCCCAAATTACATCACCAATCTTGTCTCCCAATATCACTAAAACCATACTCTCCGCTCCTCGCACGACCTCCTGCTCTCTAGCTCCCTTGTCTTCTCCTCCCATGCTTGTCTCCAGGACTTCTCCAGAGCTTCCCCCATCCTCTGGAACTCTCTACCCCAATTTATCAGACTATCACCTACTCCGCTCACTTTTAGGCGATCTCTGAAAACCTATCTCTTCAGGGAAGCCTATCCTGCCCTCAGCTAATAATGGAATCTTCTATTCCTCCTACTAGTCCATCCACAACAGTTACTACCTTTTGTACCAACAGACCCCCCCCTCTTAGATTGTAAGCTCTGAGGAGCAGGGCCCTCCTACCCCTCTTGTATTGAACTGTATTGTTGCTGTATTGTCTCCCATTATATTGTAAAGCGCTGAGCAAACTGTTGGCGCTATATAAATCCTGCATAATAATAATAATAATAACTTCATGGCTCCACCTCTCCACTTCTTCCAATAAGAGAATGTCTTGCATTCATTGGAAATAATGCAAGGCGTTCTTTGAACGGTGCCTGTGTCAAATGCACAACCTTCTGTGGTTACTATGCAGTTCAAAGCAGTGACAACTACTACAGTGAATATCCAGCTTCCATGGGGATCCCACCGGCACACTTACGAGCTGGACCAATATAACTATGCAATAAAATAGCATACCTGGAATTCAGCTTTAATGGTCTGGAATCTACTAGCTTACATTATATCTTATACTGATTCTTGAAACGGATCGTTGGAGGTTATTTAATAATATAAATATAGCTTACATGAAATAACTGACAAGGTGTAGTTTATCGTTTTAGCTTTTGGTTATATCTTACCATCCCAGCTACTGTATCACATCTAATAACGTTCCACAATGGCCGAGAGGGTGACCTCTACCCACATCTGACAAGGAAAGGTTAGAACATCTGTCAGATTTTATTTCTGTCCCCATTAACCCTCACCTCCTGTTCTGATGACCAGAACGCCTGTACAGAAAATTAGACAAAATTGAAAATGATACGAAGAGTATGTGAAATGGCTGCAGGCACTGCTTGGGTATTCTGACAGCCAGCACTCATGGCTGTTAGAATACAATAGCCAGAGGGGAGATTCGTCCAGTTATGCCGTTTGTGAAGGTGGAGGAATCTCATTTCTTTTGTTTATATTAAAAAAAATATTCTTACTTTTTGCTTCCTGCAATCTCACCTAGGTGAGAATGACGTGTCAAATACAACGTCTGCGCACATCTCATGAATGCACAGACACACTGCAAGTCTACAGGACTTGCCAAAGCAAAACCCTCCTACACATGTGCAGAGAGTAGTGGACCTCGGTCAGTATATGGGACCAGAAAGAGATGCATGGCATGCACAGATATGCCATGAAGCTCTGCACAGATACGCCATGAAGCTCTGCACAGATACGCCATGAAGCTCTGCACAGATACGCCATGAAGCTCTGCCAGGTCTATAGTACAAGTCTAAGCCGGCATGGGATATATGTCCAAGATGGTGGCACCAGAACAGAAGAGGGAAGAAGATCTTTGGGCTGACAGAAGGGCAATGCTGAACTCCAAGGACTAGTACTAGGGACTAGAAATATAATTTTAGGTAGCTCGGTTGAAGCTTCTGTTTATGAAAAGAAGACCACACAGTGGTCAAGTGACGTGGAGGAACGGTTGTTTGTTACTACCAAGCCAAGTGTTCCACAATCTAGCGCTTTGCAGTAGCAGACTTGGCTCAGTAGATGTGGAGGTTGAGTAATCCCAGATTGTCCTGGGACCACAACGGACTGAGGCATTGATCAGAGTACTCATACTAGGCAGTGCATGCAAGAGCCACCAACAGTGCTCTTATTAGCTGTGTGATAAGAGAGCCATTGCCTCTACCCTATCGTTGCTTAGCTTCCAGCATTCATTTGGTGGTGAACGAGGTTGTTCCACGGAGTGTCTTGCTGGGTCCTTCCTCCAGGTTTCTGTGGCCAGCTGGGAAAGTTCATGCATTTGATTCCATGTCTGGAATTCTGTGGTGTCAATTGGTGAAACTGTATCATTTGCTGTAGGCCCAGCGGAAGCGCTGTGGGCAGAGGGAAGGCTCTTCACATGACGTCATTTCAGGAAAAGGCGAATTTTTGGGTCTCCCAGCAGTAACCTTCAGGAAAGAGAAGAGTGACAGTGGTATAGTTTGTATTAGGTATAAAAATATTTCATGCATGGTGAAATGATTATCAGAGTATGGATTTTCAAAAGAGATGGCACAGTAGTAGCCTGCTTTCAGGCTTTTTCTCTGATTGAAACCTTAAAAGTAGATTTACTAAAACTGGTGCACCTATGCATAGGAACCAATCAGCTTCTAACCTCAGCCTGTTCAATTAAGCGTTGACAATAAAACCTGGAAGCTGATTGGTTACTATGCAGAGCTGCACTAGATTCTGTGTGCACCAATTTAAGTAAATCTCCCCCAATGAGTCTTAAAGCTCCAGCAGGTGGCTGGATGCTGCATCTGTCCCTCGCCGACTCTATGGGTGAGAATTGAGTGATCAGACACCACCACTTCTTGAAGACGCCACCAGGCAAACGTATGTCGAAGAAGCATGATGTTGTCATACCTGGGCTCCGGTGACGTCACGTCCGGCCGTAGCGAAAGTGAGGCTTGGAACGCACGTCGGCCATCTTGTTGACTATACAGGCAATACATGCTGATGCTGGCTTCATAGGCACTTCTACATGTGAGTGTTTAGAGTTTGTCTATGATTTTTGTTGCCTCAATAAATACTACACTTAGAACGGCTTAATCTCTTTTGATTCCTTTGAGTGGTATGGGAGGATGCCTTGGCTTATATAACACATTGCGATGTATGACCACCTGAATGGGGTCATATGGTCTGGTGAACGAGCCATTCGTTTGTTTTCTCACTGAGGTGTGGATGTATGGATCTTCTTGTCACCACTACTGAGCCCTGAAAAAAGGACCATTACACTTTATGTTATATACCACCATATATGTCTATTTGGCACGTGGTGGACGCACAAGGATTTCATATTAAATTATGGAGTCTATCTTCTCTGCCCCCCCCCCCCCCCCAGTGCTCACTGGAGTCTATCTTCTCTGCCCCCCAGTGCTCACTGGAGTCTAGCTTCTCTGCCCCCTCCCCAGTGTTCACTGGAGTCTATCTTCTCTGCCCCCTCCCCAGTGTTCACTGGAGTCTAGCTTCTCTGCCCCCTCCCCAGTGTTTACTGGAGTCTATCTTCTCTGCCCCCCAGTGCTCACTGGAGTCTATCTTCTCTGCCCCCCAATGCTCACTGGAGCCTATCTTCTCTGCCCCCCCCCCCAGTGCTCACTGGAGTCTATCTTCTCTGCCCCACCCCCCAGTGCCCACTGGAGTCTATCTTCTCTGCCCCCCCCCCAATGCTCACTGGAGTCTTTCTTCTCTGCCCCCCAGTGCTCACTGGAGTCTATCTTCTCTGCCCCCCCCAGTGCTCACTGAAGTCTATCTTCTCTGCCCCCCCAGTGCTCACTGGAGTCTATCTTCTCTGCCCCCCCCCAGTGCTCACTGAAGTCTACACTCTCTGTCCCTACAGGGCTCACTGGAGTCTATTTTCTCTGCTCCCCCCAGGGCTCACTGGAGTCTATTTTCTCTGCTCCCCCCAGTGCTCACTGGAGTCTATGGTCTCTGCCCCCCCCCCAGTGCTAACTGGAACGCTGGGCTGTGGAGGGGGAGGGAGTGGCTGGCTCAGGCTCTCGGCAGCTCACTGAGAGGCTGAGCCACATGTCGATTCAGACATCTGGATGGATCTTGACTTTAAAGTCGGGATCTTTCCCCAGCCTGGACCAGCTGAGTGACGTCAGCTGACTTTAGCCCGCTGTCGGCAGAAAACGAGTCACAGGAGTGCAGAACGAACTGCACCACTGTAATCCAAAGGAGAAGTACAGCCAAACGAGCTTCCGCTGTATTTTTCCTTTAATTTTACATAATAAAAAAATAAAATATGTACAAAACCTCTATATCCCTGTTTCCTCGCTCTACTACCTAGAAAAAATACTTGTCCATATTAACTTTACTATCATGTTTTATTTGGTTTTGCGCAGCCTAGACACAGAAGCTTTGTATCACCATATGCATAGTAGCAATTCACAAAGATTGGCACTCTATCCTTGCTGATACATTTGATGATCTGTATTCACAAGATTTGACAATTCAGTTTATTGCACAGCGTCTCTGGAATGTGGATATGTAAACGGTTTGTCAATTGTAGAACAGCTAAATAAAGAATAAAAAACCCTATACATCCCCTTTAACTATAGAGTATACTTCGAGGGTTCATTCAGGGCCCGTGGTCAGAAGGGGGCCCCATGAGATGCCCCTGGTACCATTCATAGACTTTTTTGGGTGTGGTTTGAGTGTGGGCAAGGACACAGGGGCCCCATGATCCCCTATTGCCCGGGGGCCCCATGAGTTGTCAGGCCGCCCCTGCACGTGAGTGCAATTTCGCATGCATGTTGACGCATTGTTTTGGGGTGTCAGTGTGCATTGAGTTGTCCATTTTATTTTCTACCGGCAATTAAACAAAATAATCTAAAAGGAACCAGTCAGGGGAACCTTAGATTTAGCAGGGGAAGAGAAAATCTAAGGTGGATGGGAACTATGGTGAGAAGGTTTCCCTGCTAGCTTCCCAGTGATGTAAGAATCTAGCCATATATTAAATCTCCCAGATTGTATCTATTACTAAAATATAACTTTTAGGTATACTGATGCCTTAGGGTTAATTTACTAAAACTGGGGAGTGCAAAATCTGGTGCAGCTCTGCATAGAAACCAATCAGCTTCCAGGTTATATTGCCAAAGCTTAATTGAAGAAGCTGAAGTTAGAAGCTGATTGGCTACCGTGCACAGATGCACCAGATTTTGCACTCTCCAGTTTTAGTAAATCAACCCCTATAGGTCTTGCAGTCCTGTATACATTTTCAGAGAAACACACAAAGAATGAAATTGTATTCTTACCTTATAATACCGCCAACTAACAGACCTCCAATCATAGGTCCCACCCAGTAAATCCAGTGATAGGCCCAGAAATGTGCTGCCACGGCAGGACCAAAGGCTCTGGCAGGGTTCATACATGCTCCAGATATGCTTCCTCTGTAATAGTGCAACAAGAGAGTGTAAAGTATCTACCAGATGCAGTAAAGAGGAAAATGTAAAGTAACCCTATGACTAACCTATGTCATTCAGATTAGGCATATAAAATCAAAATGCACAAGCGACAGTTACTTTATCCCAGGTTCACATATTTTGCGCCGGCACGAGAGCCCATTCATTTGAATGGACTCCCGTGCCTGTGACACGCAGGGAAGAAGTTCCTGCACTTCTTCTGAAAATGCAGCCCACATGGGAACCTCAGTTCCCAGTACGGTTGCGTTTTCCAGTGCGGGCGGCGCGCCATTAGAACTAATGGTACCAGCCCGCAAGTCCGCATTTCTCTGTGCGGGTGGTGTGGCTGCACAGATTTTCGTGCGGATCCACAGTCGCACCACCCGCACATATGTGAACCAAGCTTTAGGAGCCCATTCACATCCTTCAGTTGCATTCTGGTGCCTTAATGAATGCACATACATGTGCATTGTGGCTCCTGCTAATGTGCTTTGCACTAAGGCAGTCTATTCATTTGGATGGGCTGTCTGTGCTTTAGAACACAGGTACAAACGGATTTGCTCATTTTTTTCTCACCCAGTGCATCACAGCACACTTAGCCCGGGTTCACATATATGCGGTGCGGCATGTGATTCAAACAGGAACCGCAAATCACAAGCGATTTGTGTGCGGTGCGATTGGAGCCATACATTTTGTATGGCTCTAATTGCACTGCAGCCACACCAAAAACGTGTAGGACCCTTTTTTGGGTCCGCATTAGAATCGGATCGCATGGGTATTCACACCTATGCAATCCGATTCTGCACATCGCACCGCGTTTTGCGGACCGCTTTTGAGGTGATGTTAACTTAACATACACACCCGCATCGGCTTGCATGAATGGGGTGCGATTCTGATGCGGTGTGGAATTCGCACAGAAAACACTGCGAATTCCGCACCACATCAGTGTGAACCAGGGCCTACTGTGCATTGTAATTAACTGCAGTGCAGGTGTGATGTATTAGTACGTTGGGATGTCAACACAATGCACAGTGGTAAGCATGTTGCCTTAACACAGTGCTTCTCAATTATTTTCTGTCATGCCCCCCCTAGGAAGAAGAAAACATTTTGCGCCCCCCGCGCGACTGTAAATAGTATCATTTGTCTATAAAATTGTTAAGTACACCTCTGCATAACACTGTATCCTTATTAACGTATAAGAGAATAAAAAAAGAAAGAAATGTGGATCAATTTACAACAAAGAATAGCTTTATTAACTGTAGCAGAAAAGATTTAAAGTGCATTAGAAATTCAAAAAAAATTAAATCCTTAATTAAACTATAAACATTTTTTGATTGGACATGTCAAACCATATGATACTGAAAAAATACATAAAATCAATAAATAATAATGAATTCAAACCGATCACCAACATTTACTTAGGACCTAATCATTGGCGCCCCATCATTGGTGTCAGTGGGAGGAATAGTGCCTCATTATTGGTGTCAGTGGGAGGAATAGCGTCCCATCATTGGTGTCAGTGGGAGGAATAGTGTCCCAACATTGGTGTCAGTGGGAGGAATAGCGCCCCATCATTGGTGTCAGTGGGAGGAATAGCGCCCCATCATTGGTGTCAGTGGGAGGAATAGTGTCCCAACATTGGTGTCAGTGGGAGGAATAGTGTCCCAACATTGGTGTCAGAGGGAGGAATAGTACCCTGTCAGTGGGGAGAGGAATAGTGCCCCATCGTTGGTGTCAGTGGGGGGGGGGAATAGTGCCCCATCGTTTATGTCAGTGGGAGGAATAGTGCCCCATCGTTGGTGTCAGTGGGGGGGGGGGAGGAATAGTGCCCCATCGTTTATGTCAGTGGGAGGAATAGTGCCCCATCGTTGGTGTCAGTGGGAGGAATAATGCCCCATCATTAGTATCAGTGACACCAATGATGCGGCACTATTCCTCCCACTGACACCAATGACACTTGCTGACCCCTGTTGCAGTATGGTGCTGCTGCAGCCAGCATATGTGGTTGCAGCAGCACCTCTGCACTGCACACTTACCGGCTTTTCCCTCACTCGATTTTCGCGGGTCCGCTCGGCTCCGCCTCCTCGCCCGTGATTGACCGCCTGTGTACCTTTCCTGAGCTACAGTTCTGGCGGCCAATCACCGGTGAGGAGGCGGAGCCGAGCGGCAGGAGTGAGGGAGTGGCCGGAGTGACGGAAGGAGCAGCGCTTCCTGGATGGATCATCGTGGGAGCCAGGTAAGAGACAGCAGCCCTATGCCCACCCCTGTACTTGGTGTCCCTTCTGTCGGAAGGGGGGGGACGGCGACGCGCCCCCCTTGACGGAGCCTCGCGCCGCCCCTGGGGGGCGCACCCCACTATTTGAGAAGCACTGCCTTAACACAAGGTAAAATGTGCATTACTGCAACCCAGTTGTGAATGGGCCCCAAGAGAAAAATGCATTTGAAGATGATCAGTAGACCCCAAGCAGCTTAAGTTATATGCATTTTTGTTTTTTTGGTCAAATAGGTCTTTCCCACCTTCAAAGTCTCCCCATTGTTCGCAGAGGCAACCCCATCCTAGGATTAGCAGTAGGTTTGGTTTGGGCAATGGAAAGGGGAGGGGCCAAGTTTGACTTTTACCGGAAAAGTCAATATTGGCATATCATTCCCCTGCCTATATCTCTAGTCTAGTGATTGCTTTAAAATAAACCTTTCACTGTTTTCACCGAAGGTCATCAAAAAGCTTTTTTGTACCCTTAAAGTGCTAATCTAAAGCCTAAACATTGTTTACCTTAATGCATTCCTTGTATTAAGGTAAACAATGTTTAGGTTAAAGTATCTCCCCCTCACCCTCCAATACCTACCTGAGCCCTCACTTGATCTAGCACTTTGCCCATCTGTAGCAGCTCTTTCCTCTTCTCCCCGCTCTCACAGGCTTGGCTGAGAGCAGCAGGAGATATTGGCACCTGTTGCTGTCAGTCAAATCCTTTGGCAAGGGGGCAGGGCCGAGCCTTGCTGTCTGTGTCAATTGACACAAACAGCAGGGCTCGTGATTGAGCATGCAAGTGTGCCACAATAGAAAGCAGCTTCTTATGATGACTCACGGAAAAGAGGAGAAACCAGGAGCACCAACATGGGACCCAGGAAAAGGACTACTGGGGCCACATTCCATTGTACAGGGAAGGTAAGTATAAACATGTTTTTTTATTTTTAATACAATTTAAGACTTTACAATCACTTTAATTGATAAATTAATTTAATACATTATTGGTTAAAAAATATTGCTCTAAATTTCTCTTTTTCTCCACCAACTATGCTATAAACCTATACTTTGTTTATGGCAGCTGAAATGGCAACAGGTCACGTGATACTGAAATCTAACATTGGTTGTTCTCACAGCACAATTTTTTCATGGCACATTGTATGCTGTGGCCACATTTTTTAATATATAACGGCATATATTTGGTTTACAGCATTAACTTACTTGGCATAAAAGTATTAGCAGCAATGGGGCCATGGCCATTGTACAGCCAATGTGGTGGACCAATGCACTTAAAGTCTATGTGAGCCCTTACCTTGCAAAACAATCCATTCAGTTTAACATAGAAATGAAAGAGAAAACATTTGTGCATAGATTGCTAAAAAAATTATTATTACATTTTTTTCTCTCTTTTTTTTTTATAAGTGATCACATGACCTCTGTTCTCAGCTGCATAGGGGGCATGGAGAGGTGGGGGTGGAGAAACTGCAATGCACTGATCTTCCCAGTGATTAGCAGAGGGATGTGTTGACACAGTGGCGGAACACCAGGGCCCATTTGCAAGTTGGACCTTTGCGACCCTGGAAGTTCCGCCACTGATAGGAAATCAGGTTCACTGGCAGGATCACCAGGGTTTTCACACACAGGAAGCATTACAAAAAGTACAGGATACTTTTTAACACAAGAACATGGCACGACAGGCAGTATCAGGAATATGAAATGTTGGAGTAACATACTCTTTAGGCGCCAGAATACTGTTACAAACGTCTGTTCATGGGGGGGGGGTTCTAACACTGCACTACTTATCTAAGGGAAGAATAACAGAACATGTTTTCTAATCTGCTTGTATCTCACAAGGGCTTTGAATGTGCAGGGACATAAAACTGTTGCTCAATTTAGCCAAAATTTTGATGTTTTAGGATCAGAGGTTATGAGTTCATGTAATACAAAGGTCTGCCTAAACAAACCATTTCATGTTATATTAATTTAAAATTTAGGTTACCGTATATACTCGAGTATAAGCCGACCCGAATATAAGCCGAGGTACCTAATTTTACCACAAAAAACTGGGAAAAACTATTGACTCGAGTATAAGCCGAGGGGGGAGGAATAGTGCCCCATCGTTGGTGTCAGTGGGGGGAGGAATAGTGCCCCATCGTTGGTGTCAGTGGGGGGAGGAATAGTGCCCCATCGTTGGTGTCAGTGGGGGGAGGAATAGTGCCCCATTGTTGGTGTCAGTGGGGGGAGGAATAGTGCCCCATCGTTGGTGTCAGTGGAGGGAGGAATAGTGCCCCATCGTTGGTGTCAGTGGGGGGAGGAATAGTGCTCCATCGTTGGTGTCAGTGGGGGGAGGAATAGTGCTCCATCATTGGTGTCAGTGGGGGGAGGAATAGTGCCCCTGCTCCAGCCTGGGCTCGCTCGCTCTCTCCCTCTCCCATGGTACACACTTACCGGTCAGATGTCTTCCTTCTCCGGCCGCTCTCCTCCTCTTCACTCGCTCGATCTTCGCGGTGCCGCTCGGCTCCTCCTCTCCAAGCTCCACCTCCTCGCCAGTGATTGGGCGCCTGTGTGCCTCTCCTGAGCTGCAGTTCCGGCAGCCAATCACCGGCGGGGATTGATCCCGGGGGTGTGTCCAGATGACAGGGACGGCATGTCATGCCGCCCCTGCTAGACATCTGCAGACGTTGACTCGAGTATAAGCCGAGGGGGCCGTTTTTCAGCACAAAAAATGTGCTGAAAAACTCGGCTTATACTCGAGTATATACGGTACATTGAGGGTATGAGTTGGGGTTAGAATCCTTTATTATAATAATAATAATAATAATAGAATGAGGATTAGAGATTAGAAGACAAAAATGGTTTAGGTTTAGTGTGAAGTCTAGTGGTGCCTCGTTTTGTTTATTATGTTCTTTAAAGGTCTAAGTACTTACAGACTTAGATCAGAGGGTAGGGGCTGACGATCCTTTTATGACTTAAGGTAGAACTAAAGGCAAAACTTTTTTTTTATTTTTTGATGGAGTAAGGGGGGGGGGGGGGGTTATACCCCTGACAGTTTGTTTGTGTCCCATTAGGTGGATTTCCCTTCATTTCCTGTCCCATGGCTAAAACAGAAAATCAAACTGCATCCAAAAATGGCATTTCACTCTTGTAAAGTCAGTAAAGGTTTCAGAATAAGTGTTTCTCTTACCCTGCTAAGATGTCTGTTGCCACAGTGAAGCCAATACAGAAGGGAGCCAGGGCAGTAGAAGTCTTCCTATTAATGGCCCCCATACAGACAGCCAACACCAAGAAGAATGTCATGACTATTTCAGCTCCAATGGCTCGGGCAACTTGGGCATCCATGGTCACCAAATTGAAAGCTGCTCCAGCTGATTTCTCATAGTCTTCTTCTGGAGTCAAGGCCTGAAAACAATGAAAATCGGTGAGTATCTTACATTTTATGAAAGTACAACAAATAGTAATTCCATATCCAGCTATGTATCCTAAACACCCAACACAACATCCCCAGCTCTTATGCAGCTGAGATCAGAGGGAATAGGATCAGTTAGAAAATAGAAAAAAAAAGGTGTTTATAATGTTTTTTATATCTCTACACATATGTTCTTCCTTTCATTTCTATTTTAAACTGAATTGGATGCTTTCCAAGATGAGGGATTACAATCACTTTAAGGACCTCTTATCACTGGAGACTAGGCAAAAAGGAAGAGAGTAAGCCCAGCACCCTTTGATAATGTGCATCGCATGAAACGCGTCAGGGGGGCTACAGTATCCGGACGTCTGACCACCGCTGGTGGCCATCCTGAACGGTATCTGAACCTGTTCAAAGGGACCCCAGATGGTGACACGTTTGAGACTCGTGGAGTACCTACCCTGAGTTGTGATTGGAGGGTGTATGATCCTGACCTTACCTTGGCAGTAGATGACCGCTACCTGATGAAACAGGATAATTTCACATGCGTATTTTTGACGCACTTCTGGTGAGTGCGCATTTTTTACCCCAGGTTCACTGTGTGGTACACTGGAACTCTGCCCCACGCACTCATTAGGATCTGCTGGATCCCCACGTTGGCCCTCATTTATCTTGGGACTTTTTACTCACTCAAGTTCACCTCAGTGTGATCCGATACTCTGCACTTTATTTTATGCTATATTATGTTGTCCTTATTTATGCTATTTTAGCGCTGCACCTTTATATGTATCATGCATTAAATAGTGAAGCGCTCCCACGTTATCTAAAAGAATTCCCTCTGTGTATAACTTAATTCCCTACTGAACTTAAAAATAATCAATATTGTATGGTGATAAAAAACATATGAGCTAAAATACATAAACACCTCTCATATATATCAATTAATCTTGCCTCTTAATAAATCTGTGATGAAAAAATGACAATTAAAAAAATTCATGATAAATCCTCAACTATCAGTGATACATCAATAAACATAATAATACTAATAACATAATGAATTGTGACAAATCGTGATGATTGTGATGAACCTATACATCAAAAACCAGTGATTCTGTAACACATAATATAATACATATATCCCGAAAAAATAATAATAGACTACTACTTAATACTGTGATAAATAAATGAACTCAGTGTCCAAAGTAAACTCGAAAAAGTCCATGCAAAAATTTGTGAAAAACACTCTGTGATCTCCACTTCTAGTGCTCAAAAAGGAATCCTACAAAGGCAGCAATGCCTGCTCACCTCCCCTCCTCGACCCACACAGGGCCACAAGGCAAAAAACTCTCCTCACAGGCAATCTTTTCCTCCAAGCAACTCAGCAAGGGACCTCTGGACTTCCACTCCACCTCCTCTCACCTCGTCATATAGGGCACAAACAAAAGCTTCCCATAGTATAATACCGTTTATTTAGAAGTAATTTGACATAACAAACTCGTTTTTTCCACTCACATGTAGTCTTTGAATACAGCGCTTTCCACCTCACATCATGGGTGTATTCTCATTCACATACAGGGAGGGAAACAAATATGGCCGCTGCGTCCGGACAAGCGTCCCCACGTGACCGGAAGTGACGTAATCTCGAACTGGGAATGGCGTTCCGACGCGTTGCGTCACGTGCGTCGTGACTTCACTTCCGGTCACGTGGGGACGCTTGTCCGGACGCAGCGGCCATATTTGTTTCCCTCCCTGTATGTGAATGAGAATACACCCATGATGTGAGGTGGAAAGCGCTGTATTCAAAGACTACATGTGAGTGGAAACGAGTTTGTTATGTCAAATTACTTCTAAATAAACGGTATTATACTATGGGAAGCTTTTGTTTGTGCCCTATATGACGAGGTGAGAGGAGGTGGAGTGGAAGTCCAGAGGTCCCTTGCTGAGTTGCTTGGAGGAAAAGATTGCCTGTGAGGAGAGTTTTTTGCCTTGTGGCCCTGTGTGGGTCGAGGAGGGGAGGTGAGCAGGCATTGCTGCCTTTGTAGGATTCCTTTTTGAGCACTAGAAGTGGAGATCACAGAGTGTTTTTCACAAATTTTTGCATGGACTTTTTCGAGTTTACTTTGGACACTGAGTTCATTTATTTATCACAGTATTAAGTAGTAGTCTATTATTATTTTTTTTCGGGATATATGTATTATATTATGTGTTACAGAATCACTGGTTTTTGATGTATAGGTTCATCACAATCATCACGATTTGTCACAATTCATTATGTTATTAGTATTATTATGTTTATTGATGTATCACTGATAGTTGAGGATTTATCATGAATTTTTTTAATTGTCATTTTTTCATCACAGATTTATTAAGAGGCAAGATTAATTGATATATATGAGAGGTGTTTATGTATTTTAGCTCATGTTTTTTATCACCATACAATATTGATTATTTTTAAGTTCAGTAGGGAATTAAGTTATACACAGAGGGAATTCTTTTAGATAACGTGGTGGGAGCGCTTCACTATTTAATGCATGTTATTTATGACTTATTGGTTGAGGTTGAGTGATTGCAGCTAGTAGTTAGGGACCTACCCATACCAAGCGCAGGAGGATACCCCCCTAGTTTATATGTATATGTATTCTGTTGGAAGGTTCGTTCTTGATTGCCTTTTTTGATGTTCTAGCAGCTATCTTTTATATAGTTTTAGATAGCGCTCGCATATTACCTCTTTACTATAAAAAGGAAGAGGACCCTGTAGCAGCATGAGACTGCTTTGAAGACTTTAGGTATAAAAAAAAGCAAAAAATACACACGGCAGGGGGAGGACCAAAGGGCACAGGACAGAAAACTCTAAAGCAGGGACGGACTGACCATTTGGAAACTCAGGCACTGCCCGAGGGCCCGGGGTCAGTAGGGGGCCCCATGAGATGCCCCTGGTACCTTTTTCATAGGCTTTTTTGAGTTTGGGCAAGGACACAGGGGCCCCATGATCCCCTATTGCCCGGGGGCCCCATGAGTTGTCAGTCTGCCCCTGCTCTAAAGTTACACTTAAAAAATACACTAAAGTCTAGATAATGCAATAAAGGAAACACATTTTCAGCCTATCCTACTTTCCTTTTCAGCAAAATATTGTATTTACATACAGGTATTCATTAAGTTTTGAAGTGACTGTGTCCCCATTACCTTGGCCAGAGCTGCTCCAATCATTCCACCACAAAGCTGGCAGATCCAGTATGGCACTACTAGGACAAGGTTAAGTCCTCCAATTATCCAGGCACCCAGAGATACAGCTGGGTTAAAGTGTCCACCACTGAAACAATACAGAATAGGTTAATACAGTCTGAATGACACATACATCCTTTATAGATAAGATAGACCATTTTTAATTTGCTACCTCCATAGTTACGAATCTTTATTTTCTATACACCTTAAATGAAATACATGTGTAATTACAACACTTACTTTGGGTAGGTCCAAATGGCTTTTTTCTAACAAGTATTCGGCTTTAGGGCAATCTATGGATCTCGTTCTGCATGACAAGTCTCAGTTTTGCTACCACCCTCCCTCTTCCACAAAACTGGAACATTTTTCATCTTAGTGACCAAAAAATGCTAAAAATGCATCCTACGCAATTCCTCTTCCCTGCCTCTTCTACTCCCAAGGATCTAATACAAACATTACATTAACTGATGATCATAGATAAAAACAATGGCTCCAAACATCAGCAAACCCACCCACAAAGATTCTTTTCTACCAGGACTCCTTTTCTAAAACACATATTCTCCCAACTCCGAAAGGAGAAAATTCTTCATTTTTTTTAATCCTCCCTGTGGTGCCACATGGATCCACAGCAAACTTCGCATTGCTGACCTACTGATCCTTGCCAGCTCAGTGGCCACTAACCCTATAATCCATTAGACATGTTCCACAATCTTTCTACCTGAAACTGAAGCCTTATCCTACCTACTCATAACTCCAACTCCTACAGTACATAATACAATGAGGTTACTTGACTTCCTCTTCATTGCCCCACCCCTCAAAACTTAAAGTCGATGGTTATATTTTGTATCCAGAATGTGTTAACTATATTTATATCACAAAATACGGAAAAATGGAAAAAATTAAAAAGGTTACTAAAATGATAAAGAAATAGCATAAACTATGTATACCAATTTTGTAACATTTGTACAAAATTTTCAGTTATGTTATTCATGTCAAAGTCACTGTGTATCATTTGACCTGTACGACTCAATAAATATTTAAAAATGAAAATGTGTCATAAATATGATTATCAAATTCAAACTCCAGTCAAAAATTTAGATTTTTAGTAATGGATAGAGTGTTGGAGGGTTAAAGTCAACTTCTAATGTTGTCTGTATTCCCTTTGGGGAGCTGTCTCCTCGCTTCCCGCCCAGGTGATGGATGTCAGAGAGAACAGGTAGTGAGGGGAAATCATTGGAGTCGGGATACAGACAGCATTTATAGCACAATCTAACAGAACCATTTCTTTAACAGGGGCACAGAAAGCATTTAAAACCTGACAGGTTCTAACCCCTTCCTTACACTACCCAAAGATAAAGAATGTTTTTTGGCTGGAGTGCAGCTTTAAAATAATATAAAGAAGTATAAAACAAGAATGAGCCAAGGAATGGCCTACCACGCAAAACACCACACTCAAAATATTGTATTAAAGGTCCAATAGGCCATTTGCCTCAATCCTACCAGTCAAGAGGGTCTACCAACAAACTAAGCCCAAAAACTTTAGGTTAAGGTGTTGTGAAGGAACTAGGGATGCATGGATACCAATATCGGTGTTGGTGCAGATACCGAGTATTTTCACGAGTACTCATGCAAATGCTCCCGAAAACGATACTTTTAGGTGCGATTTGCATCCATACAAAATGTATGAAGCAAATCACACTACAAAGAATAGCATGCAATTTGAACAGGAATGGTGCGATTGCAGGGAACCTCCCTGCACCGATCCCATGCTGTCACACAAGGAAAAGCCATTTCACAGGTCGGCCTGATTTTATATATTACAGGTACTTATTTAGCGCCGTCAGTTTATGTAGCACTTTACATATATATTGTACATTCACGTCAGTCCCTAACCCTAAAGGGGCGTACAATCTAAGGTCCCTAACTTACATTCATACATACACATACTAGGGCCAATTTTAGACAGGATTCAATGAACCTACCAGCATGTATTTGGAATGTAGGAGGAAACTGGAGTAACCAGAGAAAACCCATGCAGGCACAGGGAGAACACGCAAACTCCAGGCAGGTGGCTCTGTGGTTGAGATTCAAACCAACGACCCTAGTACTGCCAGGTGGAAGTGCTAACCATGTAGCCACTGTGCTTTCTCTCCTTTACTTGCAGGGATGACAGTATGGTTTAGATGGCTTCTGATTGGCCAGCACCGCAATGGTGCTGACCAATTAGAAGCCGTCTTGCCCGTGCTTGTCATCCCTGCTAGGAGAGGAGAGAAACCCATGGGGATTTCAAATCCCCAGACCTGTGAAATGGCTTTTCCTAGTGTGATAGCATTGGATCTGTGCAGGGAGGGTTCCTGCACTGCTCCTGTGTGAACTCTGCATGCGATATTCTTTGTGGTGCAATTTGCATTCATAAATTTTCTATGGATGCAAATTGCACCACAAAGTATCGGTACTCGCTGATAATAAACGCTTATTGGTGCATCCCTAGAAGGATCTGATACTTCAGTCACTTGGTGGAAGACAAGAAGCTCCTTGTTTTAAAGAGTAAAAATCTCATATTTCATTTTAGAAGATACAATGTGATTCTCGGTATTACTATTGCATTAGAAGAACACAAAATATGTTACTCTACCTATCTGAGAAACCGAACACTGAATTCCAGGATAAGAAAATATTTCCCAAATAGAAGAGGCGTGTGTATCACTGGAATATTCCTGTTACTAATTCTTTCAGATCTGTGCAGTGATCCAGTGTAAACATTGCACAGGAGCTTCCTGTGATAAAGACCAGTCATTGCTGTTCTCTCTCCTTGTGCAGGGTGACTGGTCTTGTCTCCGCCCTATCCTGTAGTTTTCTGCAGACAGCCTGTAGTGGGTGGAGCCTGCTGGGTTCCCCCCCCAGCTCCCACAGATGATATCTGGGTTTGCAAAGGCACTTAGTGCACACAAAGCGGATTTATATCTTCTGTGGCGTTTGAGGAATATATTTAAATGAGAGTTGTGCCTGGAGTTCAGCTTTGAATCAATGCCAGGCTTCTATAAGTCGGTTTAAATTTTAGCTGTTTACATTTTAAGAGTTATGAGGTCTTCATGTGTTGTGGCCACATGTATGTATGAAAGAAAGCCAGTACTGCCCACCTTAGCCAAATGGAAGTTCTGCTTATTTCTTTCATCTAATCACGTGCAAGCAAAAAAAAAGCTGTTTTTTTTTTAATTTTCTTTTCATGTTCCCCTCAGATCTAGACAAAAAATTTTGTTTTTTTTCCACATGCAGACGAGTGATGGTGATGTGGCATTTATCATGGCAGGTATCCTGATGGTGACAAAAGTGCACCATGCTTACTTAGTGGGGTTGATTTACTAAAGGCAAACAGGCTGTGCACTGCGAGGCAACTGAAGGTGCAGTTGCTCTAGATCTGAGTGGAACATGCAAAGAATATAAAAAAAAAAACATCTTTTTTTTGCTTGCACATATTGGATGAAAGAAATAAGCAGAGCTTCCCTCAGAACTAAAGCAACTGTACTTGCAGTGCACAGCCTATTTGCCTTTAGTAGATCAACCACAATGTGTGTTAAAATGGCCTCCATAAGAAGCCTGTTTGACGAGGTGACAACGCAAGAATACAATTAGGAGTCAAGCAAAAAGTGTTTATATGTGACGGGAGTGACTTTTGGGGGTGGGGGGACCCTTGTCTCAGCTCCTCATGTCCCTCTTATGTGTAATCCACCCTGTGCCTGTTAGGGGTACAGGGTGGTCTGTCCTGATATTGTGTAGACAGGTATAGGTTGGGTGTGGGGGTTGTCCATTGTTCACTGCCATGTGGTTGTCCCATTGCTCTATTGTGTCTTGCTTGCCAGCAAACTATTATGGGATGTATGTGTTCCTGTATTGTCTACTGCCAAGTGGTGTATCCCTTTGTTCTATTGTGTGTCTTGGTTTGGTGGGGGGGTGTTTCCGGCAGCCCTTCGCCCTGCTGGGAGGGCCTGCTGCTGTGTTTCCTGTTCCTGGTTGTATTTCCCTGCCCTGTGTATATATCTTGTGTTTGTGTTAAAATAAAGCAGTTCACTTCCTGTCTTAAGAAGAGTCTGGTGCTGTCTATTTCCTATATGGTCAGCGGTGGGGTCCGTGGATGGTGTTCGGACAGGGAAGCGAGAGTCTAACGGAAATACCCTAGGTACAGTCAGGGTCCGGTTCCGTTACATTACATTATATATAATGCAAGTGCTTGTGAGCTACTATGGTGTATAAAAAATTATTTTATTCTATTAACCAATAAATAATATTTTTGTGGCTTGTCTACATTATACACATACTCATATTGTCTACATTATACACATATTCATGTGTGGCTCTAATCAATATAATTAAAATATATTGCGCTCCACTGATAATCCCAATTATATTTATAACCTTTTGTGATCAAATATATCAATCATATATTGATTTTTCCAATTAACAAAATTGTGATATGAAAAAGATTTCCATAAACCTTAAAAGTACAGTGTAAAATTCTCTGATTTCAAAAATTATTATACTGATCAATTTTAAACAAATAAAATATTAATTTAATCCAAATAAAATACGAACAAAAGTCCACTTTGTGATAATATTGCAAAAAGTGCTCCTTCTCTATGCGCTCACCTTAATTTTTTGACCAAACCGTTAAGTGAGGTCAAAAGAGCTTGTGTCCTTTATATGGACTAGTAGGTATTTTTCAAACTGTATCCTTATCCCAGACAGATGGATGGATAGATGAGTGGAATAATATGCTTTTTCCACAGCTGCTGTTTTGACCTCACTTAACAGTTTGATCAAAAAATTAAGGTGAGCATAGAGGCATAGAGGAGAAGGAGCACTTTTTGCAATATTATCATGAAGTGGACTTTTGTTCATATTCTATTTGGAATAAATTAATATTTACTTTATTTGATTATATTTGAACAGTATAATAATTTTTGAAATCAAGCAAAAAGTGTTGTCACCTTAAAACAGGAAGTGCCCCAACAAGGACCTTCATGACAGATTTTTCAAGTTTTTTTTTTCTTGTGAAAGCTGCAGATTTAAAAAATATTGTACACTACTTTG